GGCCAGGTCTGGGACTGGGGCAGTGGTAGTGGTGACGCTGGTGCTGCGCCCACCCCAGGACCTGGTGGAGCTGTACCTGACCAACTGTGAGAAGCTGTCCGCCAAGAGCCTGCAGACGCTGCGGAGCTTCAGCCACACGCTGGTGTCCTTGAGCCTCTTCGGCTGCGCAAACATCTTCTACGAAGAGGAGAACCCTGGGGGCTGTGAGGACGAGTGCCTCGTCAACCCCACCTGCCAGGTGCTGGTGAAGGACTTCACCTTTGAGGGCTTCAGCCGCCTGCGCTTCCTCAACCTGGGCCGCATGATCGACGGGGTCCCTGTGGAGTCCCTGCTGCGGCCGCTCAGCTCGCTGGCGGCCTTGGACCTCTCAGGCATTCAAACAAGCGACGCTGCCTTCCTCACCCAGTGGAAGGACAGCCTGGTGTCGCTCGTGCTGTACAACATGGACCTGTCGGACGACCACATCCGGGTCATCGTCCAGCTTCACAAGCTGCGGTGAGCTGCAGTTCAAGTTTACCAGGTTGGGATGGGTGGGCTGGGAGGGAGGAGTGGGTGTTGTCAGCCCCGAGGGTTCAGAGCCCCTGGCAGGCACAAGGTGGGGATGAGAGACATAGGCCTGTTCCTTAAGCCAGGGTTTCAGCTGTACCAGGACTGTCCAGAGTTCCTTCCCAGAGTGCCTGGAGTGCTTGGGGCAGGCATGGGCCCTTCCCTGCTTTGCCCTGAAGGGGCAGGGGTCTTAAAGGCAGCCCCACCCTGTACCCAGCTCCTGACCTGTGTCCCCCACCCCAGACATCTGGACATCTCCCGAGACCGCCTCTCCAGCTACTACAAGTTTAAGCTGACTCGGAAGGTGCTGAGCCTCTTCGTACAGAAGCTGGGGAACCTGATGTCCCTGGACATCTCTGGCCACATGATCCTAGAGAACTGCAGCGTCTCCAAGATGGAAGAGGAAGCTGGCCAGACCAGGTGGGGCCTGCCCTCCGTGGCTGCCAGTGGGGAGCCATTCAGCGTGCATCTGTAAGGGCCCCTCTACCAAGCGCCATGCTGGGTGCTGGAGATAAAGAACCAAATCAGGCCCTGTCCCTCGGAGTGAGCTGGTGGGGACAGACCAGTGGTTATCAGGGCTGTGAGCAGGAGATACGAGGATCAGGAAAGAGGCAGGAGAAGGAATGGTACTGCTGTCCTGAGAATTCATTCTGAGCCTGCTAGAAGGAGAGTGTTCTAGCTCTAGCAAACAGTGTGTACAGAGACCCATAGGGAGGAGCAGTGGGAAATTACTAGGTGCTCGGGCTGGCCAGAGCACAGCATGGTGGGGCTGAGAGATAAGGCTGGCAGTGTCTGCCATCTACAAAGTCTTGCTGGGGCTGGGTTAGACCATGGACTGGTTGGCTAAGAGGTCTGACCAAACCTACCAGTTGTGCCGGGCAAGGTGGCTCACGCCTATAATTCTAGCACTTTGGGAGGCAGAGGTGAGAGGACTGCCTGAGCCCAGGGATTTGAGACTAGCCTGGGCAACTTGGCAAGACCTCGTCTCTACAATAAATCAAAAAATTAGCTGGGCATGGTGGCGCACGCCTGTGGTTTCAGCTACTTGGAAGGCTGAGGTAGAATGCTTGCCCTGAGCCCAGGAGGTTGAGACTGCGGTGGCCGGGAGCGGCCACTGCACTCCAGTCTGGGTGACAGTAAGATTCCGACTTAACAAATAAAAAATAAGTAACTTACCAGCTGTAACTGTTCATTAGCCCTGTCCCTAACAATACTCTTTTTTTTTTTGAGTTGGAGTCTCACTCTGTCACCCAGGCAGGAGTGGAGTGGCCGCTCCCGGCCATTGCAGCCTCGACCTGCTGGGCTCTGGCGATCCTTCCGCCTCAGCCTTCCAAGTAGCTGGAACTATAGGTGTGTGCTACCACACCCGGCTGATTTTTTGATCTATTGTAGAGATGAGATCTCACTAAGTTGCCCAGGTGGGTCTCGAACCCGTGGGCTCAGGCAATCCACTCACTTCAGCCTCCCAAAGTGTGGGATTCCAGGCTGAGCCACCAAGCCCGGCTTTCAACAATACTCTTAATGGTGTTGGGTTGATGGGCTTATCCCTGCATAATTGTTGGCAGAATCACTACTAGTATAGAGGATAGCATTTTTTTTCTTTTTCTTTTATTTTTTGGAGTTGGGGTCTCACTCTGTCACCTAGACTGGAGTGCAATTGCACGATCATGGCAGCTTCCACCCCCTGGGCACAGAGGATCCTTCTGCCTCAGCCTCCCAAGTAACTGGGACTATAGGCATATACCAGCACACCTGGCTAATTTTTTAATTTTTTTGTAGAGACGAGGTCTCACTATGTTGCCCAGGCTGGTCTTGAACTCCTGGTTCAAGCAATCCTCCTGCCTCGGCCTCCCAAAGTACGGGGATGACAGGCATGAGCCACCACGCCTGGCCACAGATAGTCTTTTCTAAAGATGGCTGCAACAATATCTCCCATTCCACCTGTTCCTCTCCAATGTGACCTTGCCACCCTTCCATCAAGAGGTGGGGCCTACCCTTACAAAGAACAACAAAAAAGCTGAGATTGGAAAGCCTAGAAGGGAGAGCATCAAGTCAACACCACACCCAGGGAGGCCCAGGTCAGACTGGCTGGAGCTGCTGACCCCAGCACCTTCTCTCCCCAGCATTGAGCCTTCCAAGAGCAGCATCATGCCTTTCCGGGCTCTGAAGAGGCCGCTGCAGTTCCTCGGACTCTTCGAGACATCCCTGTGCCGCCTCATGCATATTCCGGCCTACAAAGTAAGAGGGGAGCAGAGGATCAGGGATCCAGGTTGTCCTGGGAGAGGGAAGGGGCTGGGCATGGGGCACCAAGGTGACAGCTCTGGGGCTAGAGCCTGAGCTGGCACCTGGGATCCCACCCTCTGGCCTCTTCTGGACTGTTCTGAGCATGCCCCACCCTCAGGTAAGTGGGGACAAAAACGAGGAGCAGGTGCTGAATGCCATTGAGGCCTACACAGAGCACCGGCCTGAGATCACATCCCGGGCCATCAACCTGCTGTTTGACATCGCTCGCATTGAACGCTGCAACCAGCTGCTGCGGGCCCTGAAGGTCAGCCCCAGCCCCGGGGTCCTTGGGCTTCCACCCATCCCACCGGGAGGTGCCGTGCCCACAGAGCTTCTAGGACTCCTTGACATCCTGTCCCCAGGGCACAGGCAGTACTTCGCAGTACTTCCTCCCATGCCCCAACCTGTCCCCACAGCACCTGACTTGCTTCGGCATGGGCCCGTCTCAGTGTCTTCATCCCAGGCCCTGCTTCCACCTGCAAGAGCAGGACCAGACTCCGCCCTGCCCAGAGGACCTGCTCGAGCCCCTGCAGAGTCCCAGCCTGTCCCCACACAACTGCCACAGCACTTGCCACGCGGACCCTCCCCTGTGTTCATACAGCTGGTCATCACAGCCCTCAAGTGCCACAAGTACGACAAGAACATCCAGGTGACAGGCAGCGCCGCCCTCTTCTACCTGACCAACTCCGAGTACCGCTCAGAACAGAGTATCACGCTGCGCCGGCAGGTCATCCAGGTGGTGCTGAATGGCATGGAATCCTACCAGGAGGTGACGGTGAGCCCCCTGCCCGCACGGCTCACATGCTCTGGCCCGGCCACCCCTTCCCTGCTCCCTGCGCCCCAGACACACAGCTCCCTCGGGGCTCACCTGGCTCTGTGCGGCGGCCCTCCCAGCTCCCCCGTCCGTGGCAGCATCCCCGACTCCTGGGACCCAGCCCCACCTGCAGTCCGTCACCCCCTCCAACCTCTTCCTCCCTGCTTCTCCACCTGGAGGCCCAGAGACCCTGGTCTCCTGCCTCTGGGCCTCTGCCGCACTGTCTCCTCAGCCCTTCTTCCCTGATGGGAGGGAGGGTTCCAATAGCTGCCTTTATTACAACAGTCGTTGAAATTTTGTACTGTAAAAAAGTTACAATTACAGATATAAAGAAAATAGGCTGGGTGTGGTGGCTCATGCCTGTAATCCCAGCACTTTGGGATGCTGAGGTGGAAGGATCACTTGAGGCCAGGAGTTCAAGAGCTGCCTGGGCAAAATAGCAAGACCTTATCTCTATTTCTTTTAAACTTAAAAATGTATTTTAAAACTTTTTTAAAAAATCACCCACAGCCGGGCTCGGTGGCTCAGCTTGTAATCCCGCGCCTTTGGGAGGCTGAGGTGAGTGGATTGCTTGAGCCCGCGGGTTCGAGACCCGCCTGGACAGGTGAGACTTCATCTCTACAATAAATCAAAAAATTAGCTGGGCGTGGTAGCGCGCACCTGTAATTCCGGCTACTTGGAAGGCTGAGG